CCAAGGCTTTATCTTCTCTAATTTTGCAAGACAGTTAAAAATTTCAAGTGCATCTTCATCTTGTAAAGGAAAAAACCCATACATTTTGTTCGAGTTATTTCTGGCTTTGAAACTGTGTTTAGCCTCTCCAGAAAATGGAAGGAATTGCTTGTACAAAACCTCTTTTTTTTTGAAAATCAGTTCTGTGGGCTATAGTTACATGCCATTACTCTGAGTTGAAGAAAGCTATTTTCTTTTGAGTACCCCACTGAGTCTCTATTTCAATATTTTTTGCATAGTTTATTGAGTTATGGTATTTCAGAAAAAGAGTGATTAAAAACCTTAGATTAGATAATGTATTAAAGTTTAGTTTTAAAAGTGAATAAAAGTAGATATCCAATTCTATATTTTTCTTTCCTTCAGTTTCAAGAGACTTATTTCAACTTGGTTCGGTTCCAGAAATCTTATACTGATGTTTGAACATCAAGAGTTCATTCTTACAGATGAGACGGTTACATATTGGTTTTTCCTTTGAAATGAAAACTGATTTACTGTCAGAGTTCTACAGCTAAGGCTGCGGTTTAGGAAGAAAAAAAAGAGTGGTATATCTGCCTTCTCCATACCAAGGACAAAAACACACTACAAGATTTTAAGAGATTCTTAAAGGAAGCCATCTGAAAATTTCAGAACTGCATTTATTTTTAGCTTTAGATTTCAAATTTGGTTAGAATTTTCTTTTAAAACTGGAGTCTGGATCCATAGTGCATGAAGATGTTAATGTGATCCATTCCAAATCTTTGAGTATTTCACGATTTATAATTCTTCTGTGCAAGAAGAGATGGACTGCACACATTCATTCTCCCAAACATTCTCATAAAGACTAAGCCCTAAATAGTTTGCTCCCTAAGGATTGGTTTTGATAACATTATGCCGGTTAAGCAGCCTTTGTCAGTAGGGGTGCTTGGGGAGTAAGATCCCATCTAACAGTAAAAAGAAAATTCAGGATTATAACTGCAAACTTCTGATTTATTCTTAGTTGAGCAGCTTAGTTTGAGGAAAACTTTGCTTGTTTTAGAAATAAAAGATATTACATTATAATAATTCAGGTTGTTATAAATCTAAAAAGAAGGTAGATTTTTTTCTTCCTCATGGACTATTTTTAGCATAGAAATAACTTACTGTTTTCTCTACAGGAGCAAAAGAGCTGTGGATCAAGTTCTCAGATGCAGTGTTACTGTCAATATTAAAGATCTGATACATAAAATACAGTATGCAGGTAGAATCTGCATTGCCAGCTGCCTATTCTTGTATTAGACCTCTACTGGAAATCCTGCTATTTTTGGAGGTGTTTTAACTCACTAGTAGGCGTTAAAATGCTGAAACGTGTGGAAATTGAAGTCTTTTTTCTCTGTTTTCAGATATCTGCTTATGAGGACTCAGTTGCTGCTCATCTTGCAAAAATTCTCAATTCTGATCAGCACTCAGTTGTCATATCATCTGCCAAGTGAGTTGATCCTTTTTATGTACAATGTGTGGGATAAATCCCCTGTGTAACGTCATCAGCATAATAACCTTCTGTGTGAGCCTGATTTTCTTATGGCTGGCCTGGCTTGCTTGGCTTAATATATCTTAATTTATATATTTTAGAATGGATGTTTTTTCTGCAGAATTTTTATATGGTACAATTGTAATGGATAGCTTAACTCTAAGTACGTCACCACTTTAAAAAATATATCACGTAATATTAAGTGATTTTAAATCACTTCAAATCAGCATGCAGCTTATATATGAAACTTAATGTTACTAATGCAAATATGTGATCTACTTCACATTACATTTTTTCTGTTTTGTTTTATGCATATCATGAAGAGGACAAACAACTTCACCAATGTGAGGTGAACTTCAGGCTAGGCAGCTTTGTCATAGCTGTCTATATCAATTCAATAAATAGTGGTCTCAGACAGTTAAGTTTTTTTCCCAAAACTGAAACACTTAAAAAAGAGAGATAATTACTTGGCAAATCATAGACATCATCTGAAATCAGAAGTATTCTGTATGTAACTTCTCTGTGAAGAAAACATCTTCTATTTTGTGATATGCAAAAGACCAGTCACAAAGTCTTCAAAAATACATCAGAATGTCATTACATCTCTTTTCTTTTTTTCTCTTAAAAGCAAGTTAGTAAAATTTCATTTTTAAAGTATACATAGCACATGCTGAAAATTAACTCCAAATTCTAAATTGGGTCTGTATCATGTTAAATCTATTTAGTTTCTGTCAAATAAATTTCAACCAAATGAACAGTACTAAGCAATTATGCACACCTCGTTAGTAAGTTTGCTGTCTGTCTGCAGCGTAGGTAATAAGAACCAAGCCTGTCTCTGATTCACACAGTGAAAGCTCATCGCAGCCACTGTAGTTTTGCGTAGATACGCCTCAAGGTCAGCTGTGGTTCAGAAGCACGAGCTGTGCAATGGGACATATGTGCCCGTATGCTTTCACCTAGGAAGTGCTCCATTAAAGTCAGTAGATTTTCTCCATGGTTTCCAGGCTCCATCTCCGCATGGGAGTTTGCAAGATGCTGTTTGAAGTTAACAAAGGGAAGGCGAGTTTCCTAACAGTTCTGGTATGGAAGGTGTACAAGCAAGGGAATGAATAAAATTAGTCATATTTATTTCGGTTTTTAGAAATAGGAGACCTAGATATATGTGCAAAGGTTTAAATAAAAAGGGAGGAAGAGTTTTTGTTTTAAAGCCTATCATCGCTTGAATTTGGCAAGCCATGCAAAAGAGTATTATTTGCTTCGCAGGTATGATCACAGAGTTCAGTTTCAAACAAGAACAGTGTATAGCAGTATTCACATAAACCAATTGCCATATGAATTTAATATTCAAAACGTATCTATTTCATTTCATTTCTCCCCTTCTTTTTTTATCTGAAGAATATTATGTGAAACTGTAAAGGACTTTGTTGCCAAAATAGGGAAGACTTATGAAAAACCGATGGAAAATGCAGAGGAGGCTGATGCCATGGCCATTAAAGTAAGACAATTACTATTTTCTGGTTTAAAGTTGTGATTTGTGTTACAGCTCATGGGTGTTTAATTTCTAAACCTCTCCAGGATGCGCAGCTTGGCTTCCATTTCAACCAGTGACTTTAAAATTCTTCTCCACATAGTGCGTAGGACAGTTATTTCCAAATTATCTTTAAACTGTAAGATCTCTATAAACTCTGTTTACACTTTCTTCCTTCAGAAAGGATAAAGTATATGGTAATGTCCATAGAGATAAATGGAAATATTCTGCATTAGGAGTTAGACTTTTCTCTGAAAGGGATGAAGTTATCTACAGGAAAACAGTGGGATAATGAAGAGAGAGTATGCTGGGAGAATGAAGGGAAGAGAGATTACAGTGTTAAAAATACGGCTTTAAGCTGCAAATTGTAGAGATTGTGTTGTGAAAGCATTGGGAAAAAAAACAGAAGGATTTGGTATGAGGCACAAAATTTACATGAGCTGAAAAAAAAAGAAGGAAACAAAATCACTAACAGTCCCATAGTCAGGAAATGTACTTGCTAAATGGCAGTTCCTGGTTCAGTGCACATTTTAGAAAATGAATTTTTCTTTTTTAGTGTTCCAGGGCCAAACAGTGTTGGTTTCCTTTCCCTTAAGCACAGAAAATCACTTTTTTTTCCCAGTGTACCTAGAGAGCAACTGCTTAGTCAGGGGTAGAGGTGTTTGACAGTGTTTGATTCTGGCTTGAGCCTCTTTGCTCTGTGACAACTCGCTTAAATGTACAGCTGTGTTGTAAACCACCACCACCCCAGAACCACCGTGTGTTTTTTTGCTGGGCATGTCCTTATAGGTTCTCTCTCCAAACTGGGGTACTGAGCACCCGTAATTTTTTATAATGCATGATATGGGCAAATCTGTGCTGGTTCTCTCTCTTTGAAGAAGAGCGAGATCTAATCTGCACCCTAGTGATGTGGCAGGCTGAGTTTAGCACTGTGTGTTATTTTAGTCTGAGCGTAGGGGGTTTTTTATAATCGCTCTAATCTGGTTGGGTGTCACAGAGTCTTCAAAAACCCATGCAGACCTGCTCATAATCTGATATTATGAAATATTAAATGTGGGTTTGGATTTTACAATACACAATGACATAGACATTTAAGACACAGACAATTTAAAATCCTACCGCATGGAGAATTTTGCTCCCTCCCTCTAATCCAGTGCTTAATTTCCTGAAAATGTTCATATGTTCACTGATTTTTTTGGTACGTATGTATTCTTTTCCACTTTGTCTTAGTGCACTGAGTTAAATGAGAAGCTAGACCTGTTGCTCCAGGCTCTTCACACAGAAGCCCAGGCTGCTCCCATTCTCCCAGGCATCACTCCCCCCATAGTGGAAGAGGAACCAGAGGAGTTTTCAAGTGAAGAATCCTTGTCTGAAAGTAAAGAGCAATTAGCGGAGTGTGTCTCAAAGTCTTCCACCCAGAAACTCTTCAAACCGAGGGAACAGTTAATGCTCCGCGCAAACAGCTTGAAGAAGGCTGTGAGGCAGATCATTGAACAAGCAGAAAAAGGTGCACATCAGCAACGTTTTGATCCTTACTGGTGGAATAATGATGTGGCTTTTTTTCTTTACTAGCATAAATTTTCATTATTAAAGCTTGATTCCTCCATTTTTATGTAGGTAAAATTATATGCTTGTTACAAGCTGCAAGGGAAAGAAATGCAGCTTGTTTGCATGCTGATGACTGTCTGTCTGCATATATGAATACATATGTATGCACGTGTGTGCACATATAAAAGTGTGTTTCTTTTGTAACTATTATCCTCCACAAAATGAAAATTTCTGGCAGCGAATCTTTATCAATGGGCAAAGGATTGCAAGAGTCTTTTTCGCTGAATTAGCAAAGAAACCTTTTGTTAATGTTTTTAAACTTTAAGCTACAGAAAAAAAAAGAAGCTGATTTTTCATTTATGCAGAATTTCTTTAAAGATCTTGAAACTTTCTCTCTTTTTTTTTAATAAGCAGTTGTGGATGAGCAGAATGCTCATAGTGAAGAACAAGTGAACCAGTCCCCACTAGAATATAGCAAAGAATTGGATGAATCCAAAGAAGAAGAAAAAGAGGAAGATACGAAGGAACTTGAGTCACCATCAAGTGAGTAAATGAGGAATAAAATAATTTAAAATTATTCAGTCTCCTTATATCTGCATTATGGAGCTCCATAATTAAAAATACTAGCATGTTGTTTCTCTGGAAACTAGTCACAAATTTTAATAGATTTGGATAAATAAAAGTTGAGGGAAAAATGTGGGAGATGAGATGAGCAGTCTTTTGGAATGGAATTACAAAGCTGAGAAGGTATTTGTTGGCAAGAGAAGTGCCTGCATTTAATCCAGCATTTACACTCACCTTTCTACATGAACCTGAGCAGGGACTAGAGCCTGGGTAATGATGGCAATACAATGTCTCAGTTGTAGGCATTTTAAGGCATATTATAGGAATTTCTGTCAGTCATTTCTGTTGAAGGCATTTTGAATCATGTGAAACAGACATATTTATTCATTGTATTGGCAACAAAACCCTGATGTCTCAGCTGAGAACTTACCTTGAGGCAGCTATTGGAACAGAGAGAATGAAATTTAAGTCTTTTATATGAAGTGGAACAGCATAAAGCAGGAAATAATATACTAGAAAGTGGAGCATGGAAGTCTCTTGAGAAGTGGCAGTACTAAGGTCCCCCCCTCTATTTGTCTAATCCAGAGCAGAAATTTGAACCAAAGTCTTCGATATCCTAAGGCTCCTTCCCATGAAAAATGTCTTGTGGTGTTGTCCCAAATACAGGTCATTAGTCCAGCTAGTTCCTTGCAGCTATTAGCTGCTGTATAACAAGCCATCTAGCAAGCCGCTATACCAAGCTACTCTTGCTTTCCAAGGGGTAGAGCCCCCTACCTGCTCTCTCCTTGGCCGGATGGACTTTACCTGCTGCTGTTGTCCCAGCGCTCCTGCTTTCCTGTAGGAGCATCATTCTGTTCTCACTGTGGGGCTCTGCAAGGTACTCTCAAAAAAAAAAGGAAGACAGAGTAGGTAGACTCTGCTGGGGTTTAAAATGCAACAGAGATAACCCAGTTGTATTATTTGTATCAATAAATGAGTGATCTGAGTTTAAAACAACTTGCTTGGAAGGTAGCATTTCCTTAAATTAATAGCCCATTTTGTTGCTAAGCTTTCCTTTTGGCTATTCAGGGTTTGGTTGCTGTACGTAAAATGATATTTAGAGAATAGTATTCCCTTTTTATCTCCTGAAATAGCATAGTACTAATTCCTACATTGAAATGATAGGGTAAAATTTGTCTATAAGGAACCCTCGCTTACCTCCTTCCTTGCTTGGTTTTGGCACCAAGCCAATCCAGCCAGGGGTCATGTTAGGACATCTCCCATCACAAACTTCAGTGCTGCACTTTGGTTTGAGTGGTAGTTAATGTGTCAGGGCGATTCAAGAGTCCCAACCTGCACAATAATTTTAGGGAAGCCATTTCTTGGTGTAGGTGGAAATTTCAGTCTTTGCCGTATTACCAAAGTGGGCAGTGATGCACTGCAGGTGAGGTCTCGAGATAATCTCTGAGTCATGGAGGAACAGTGGTAGCTGGTGGACAGCAAAAACCATCCTCTAGATAGTTAGTGAGCAACTTCCTGTGGCAACATCAGTTGTCAGCAAAGTCATTTGGGATTTGCATCTCCTTCTGTTACCCTAACCCACACCAAGATCTCCCAGTGGTGTTGTCCTCCTGAGGCTCTGCTCTGAAGCCAATGCCTTTCTCAGTAGCTCCGTCATTAGTTTCTTGGGGCTTCTGTTGTTTCAGAATCTCACATTTCCTTTTCTCCAGGACTGGATTTCAGACTTTCTTCAGTGATTGTCTCTTCACTGGCCCCTCTCCTTTTACCTTGGTTATAGGAATCAATGCTTGTTGGTTGTCTAGTTTCAGTAGTAGTTCATGGAGGATGCTGGCTCAATGGATGACCTGGTCCTACTGCCATAAATATATAATAAAATAAAAATATGCACATATGTGTATCCATATGTATAAATATATATAAGCCCCTTGTTTCCTGATGATGCAATTTCTGTGTTTATCGGGGAGCTGTATTATTCTTCATACATCTGATATGTGTGAAATAGAGTGCATATTAATGCTGTCAGTGGAAGATAGGTGTTTAGGGACAAAGCGTGAAACATGAATTCAATTATCTGCAATGAAACATCAGTTTTGCTCATTAGGGCTCTGTTGTTTTTATCAGAGCATGAACAGCAAAAGTTTATCTTTATTGCAGTTATCCCCATGAGTCTCATCTGTCAAACAAAGAGCAGCTGCTCTGTTGATTTTCCTATTTAATATAACTGCCTTGTTCCCAAGTACATAGAGAACAGACTGTGTGAATAGCATTGTGAATTTTTCAGTAGCATTATGAAAAATGAATGTTAATTTTGTTCTGAATATTATATTTTACCCTCTGAGGATCTTCCTGGTCATTTGATGACGATAATATTTTGCCATATGTTAATTACCTTCATCTAAATATTTAATAACTCTTGCTAGATATCACTTTCAGGTTTTATTTATTTTCATTTTTTAACTTTATATTACAGTGTTTTGTCATGCACAGATACAAAACATTGTGTTGTATTGTTATCATGCAATACTAGAGCATTTTGTGATAACTGCTAAGGCTGGTATGCAGATGTTAAAGTCAGAAGAAGCTGTTAGGTCACTTGGTCCGACCTTTCATATAGAACAGTCCAGCAAATTAAACCCACTTATCCCTGTCCTGTGTCTAATAATTTCAGTTTGACTTAAGCAAGTCATCCAGAAAAGTGTGTAATCTTATTCTTGGGATACAAGAGGGTGAAGAATTTGCCATTTCATTGACTGTTCTGTGCTAGATTATCGTAATTTTTTTTAAAAAAGTGAATGTCCAAATCCTGTCCTGAATTGATTTGAACACAATTTCTACCCCTGGTTCTTGTTACTACCTTTGTCTCTAGATTTTCCCACTCTGCATTTTCTTTCCCTTAATGTCTTCATACAGTACACCCACATTACTCTCAGGCTGAATTACCGTGATTGACATGACCTGATCTGTCCCACTTCTGCCACAAAAAAGGGTATATTTTAACCTTCCCACCACATTCCTGGTGGTGCTTTTCTACTGCTGTCTTGGTGCTAGTCCTAATAGTTTTATTTTTTTCCTTTTTTTCTGAATTAGTTTTCAGGTATTGAGAGGAATATATCAGCTCACTTCTTTGAAATAATTTCATTTTTTATTCTGAGCTTCTTCAGTTCGTCAAGGTTGAAGTTGTCCTAAAAAGTAGTTTTAGCATGTAAGATAATTTGGAGCAAAGGTAGCCAAGAAATGTCTGTCTATGATCATCTGGTGTGCAAAAGCTTTTTACATGCACATGGAAATGCTATAGCAAACCATTTAGTAATACCCAAACTTTCTTCCCTGGGGCACCAATTTCTGGCTATGTCTGACGGGGCTGGCTTTCACAAAGATAAACTTCCCCAGTCTAAAGCAGGCACCGGCATATTCTCTCATTCCACACCACACAAGTTCTGCCAGGAAAATAAATTACAGCACCTGAAGCCAGCCCTCTGAGCAGCCTTTCCTTCTTCATCAGCAGTCCCAAGGATAACTGGCCTCATTGAGCTACCAGTTCCTCTTTGTGAACATCTTCTCTTTCCCCTTGATTTTCTTCCCTTTTGTTTTCCTGAGCCATCATCTGCTTTGGTGACCAAGAACTTGATCAGCTACCAAACTTTACTGTCTGTCAGAAGGTTTTATTGATCCATCTTCTGGAGAATTTTAACAAATAAGTTACTTCAATTATTTTGGGAATTGCTGGGTTGGGTTTTTTTTTGTGAAAAAGAAAAGATAATGATAAATCAATATCTCCCCCATGATCTCTCTATCTGTAAAAGACAAGAATGTCTGAACATGGCTTTCCCTTCCCTTGCAATTTTCAGGTTGGCTATAGATAAAGATGTCAGAGCTTTGTCTGAGGTTTTCAGAAACCTGAAGCAGGCAGGGTGTCCATTTTAGCTGCTGGAAGCAAATAGCCTGGCTATTGATCAGGTATTTCCATGACCTCTGGGTTAGAATAGCTATCTATGTTAAAATTGCTGTAAATAATAATGAACTATATAATATAGGTATATTTATAAGTAAATATACATTGACTTTAAATTTATATTACTTCATTAACATGTTTATCAGACACTTACTACAGCATTAAATATTACTGCATTTTAGGGTGGATATAATTCAATTTTTGCTAGTAGCTTGAAGCACGAGTTGGGAACTCAGCACATTGTATGCCATGCACACTTGTTCATTTTAATTTGTGTTTATCACTTGATGTGTTTCTGAATTTTCTTCCCTGTATTTAGAAGAAAAACTGTGGTGTGAGGCAGGGAGGACATTTGTTACAGAATGGTAACACATTAAATTAATGACTTTGAAATATCTTCAGGGCTATAAAAACTATGTATTCAGTAATGTCATAATAGGTCTAATTAGTGCTCTTACTTTTACTTCTTCTGCACAGTTAAAACTGCACCAAGATCTCCAGATCGACGTACAAGCCGAGGTATCCATTCTCAAACAGGCTCTTTCTCTGCTCCAGCTTTGGCTGCAAGCAAGGAGAACCTCCCAGTACTTAACACTAGGATTATCTGCCCAGGTAATTATGGTTTTGAAATCTGTTGTTCCTTACTCAACTTTAATATTGCCTTCTGTTCCCCTTCTTGCTGTCAAATAACGATTTTTACTTCATGGCAGGAGCTCTGAATTTGTTTGAACTGACATACACATCTTTGTGTGGTGTCGTATAGCAGGAAATGCAAAATAACTTAGAAGATTCCTGATTGTTTGGCACAACACCAGGTGTAGCAGAAGTGTTGTGTTCAGTTCTGGAGGATGAAAAATGAAATTCAGGATCTTAGAATCAGAGAGTCACAGGGTGGTTTGGATTGGAAGGGATCTCCTAAAAATCATCTAGTTGCAACCTTGCTGCCATGGGCAGGGACACCCTCCACTAGACCAGTTTGCTCAAAGCCCCATCCAACCTGGCCTTGAACACTTTCAGGGATGGGGCAGCCACAACCTCTCTGGGCAACCTGTGCCAGTGCCTCACCACCCTCATGTAAAACATTTCTTCCTTATGTCCAATCTAAACCTACCCTCTTTCAGTTTAAAATTGTTGCCCCTTGTCCTGTCACTACAGGCCCTGGTGAAAAGTCTCTCAGCTTTTCTTATAAGCCCTCTCTATATTTTGAAAGGCCACAATAAGGTCTCCCCGGAGCCTTCTTTTCTCCAGGCTGAACAACCCCAACTCTCTCAGCCTGTCCTCATAGGAGAGGTGCTCCAGCCCTCTGATCATATTTGTGGCCCTCCTCTGGACTCTCTCCAACAGCTCCATGTCCTTCTTGTACTGGGGCCCCCAGAGCTGGATGCAGTACTGCAGGTGGGGTCTCACGAGAGTGGAGCAGAGAGGCAGGATCACTTCCCTCGACCTGCTGGTCATGCTGCTTTTGATGCAGCCCAGGACAGAGTTTGCTTTCTGGGCTGCAAGTGCACACTGCTGGCTCATGTCCAATTTTTCATCCACCAGTATCCCCAAGTCCTTATGTCATTTATCCTAATCAATGGAGGCTGTGAAGGGGCTGAGGGACAGAGCTGTGTAAGGTTCAACCCTCTGAATAAGAGGTGCCTCTCAGGAAATTGGTAGCTGAAACTACAGAAAGCTGCTGTGTGGTAAAAATGGTTGGAAAAAATCTGTTCAAATCGAAATGCCACTAATACTAGGAGGCACCAGTAAAACACTGTTTTAATTAACTTCATTAGTTTAGTTAAAACATAATGGAACTGAGCTCACATTTTTCTTTAGGTTAATTTAAGTGAAAGCTTTTAGAAAGTACTTTTCTTTGTTTACATGCTTTATGCAGTGTTTTGTACAATGACTTCGATATTTGTCAAGGCAGGCATGGTAAGGCTGTGACCTTTCCACAAATTAAGTTAAACTATGACTCTTCCAGTTGTAAAAACCGTGAGGGTATTCCTTAGGAATATTTCCAAAGGAAAAGACCAAAGGGAAATCACAAACAATTTGGAGGTGAAGGTTAAACTAGATAAAAAGCTTGACTAGTCTTTTTGGATTTTAGGTCACCCATTTGGTTACTATGCCAGCCAGTAGAGTGTTGACCTGAAATCCTGAATTTTCTCAGATTTTTTCTTTCTCAATGGTGGTACATGAAGAGTTGGCTACCACACTGCAGCACAGCTGCCTTTCTGCTCAAGAGAGCCAGAGACCTGAAAAGATAACCAATATAGGTAAAAACTGCAATAGAAACTCAATCATTCCCTGTGTGAATTTAATGAATATTTTGTCTCTCAGTATGTGGCTTATATTATGACAATGTATGTTTCTCTGTTTATCAAGCACAAATTGTTTTTTTATTATATTTTATGTTTGTTTGTTGTTTTTTTTTAAATCAGGTTTGAGGGCTGGTCTAGCTGCTTCTATTGCAGGAAGTTCAATTATTAGCAAAATGTTGCTAGCAAACATCGATCCGTTTGGTGCTACACCGTTTATTGACCCGGATCCAGATTCACTGTAAGAAATTATTTATTTTCCAACTGTACTGTTTTGCTTTAGTTTGCCTTTCTTAAGGTTTTGGGGTTTTTTTACTTTTTTGTAATCTTTTTTTTTTTCATAATGAAATTCTGTTTTGCTGTCATTTGGCAGTAGACCTCAAGGTCTGAAAACAGGTTGGATTGTGCCATTTTTGTTATGAGTAGTGCAGAATTGTCTTGCAGCATCAGAAATAATAGGGGATGATATATCTGTTTGAGACCAACCACAATCTGCGTGTCCAGGTACTGTGTAAATGTACACCTAATTATCTCTTTTCTTCTAACAGGGAGGGATATTCAGAAAAATGTGTCATGAACAACTACTTTGGAATTGGGTTAGATGCAAAAATTTCACTAGAATTTAATAACAAGCGAGAAGAGCACCCAGAAAAGTGCAGGTAATATAATTGTCAGTAACAGAGCCAAGATACTTCCATTTTTTTCTTTTCCTTATCTCTTTATTTGAATTCCTTAACTTTTTTTCTCATCCTACAAATACAAGATATGATAAGGTGTGTATTTCAATATATGAATCTTGTTTTACCTGTTTTCAGAAGTCGGACGAAAAACATGATGTGGTATGGAGTTCTTGGCACAAAAGAGCTACTGCAAAGAACTTACAAGAACTTAGAACAAAAAGTTCAACTTGAGGTAAATTTTATTTATGGGCGGAATGAGTGTTTTGGCTTCCACAATGTGTAGTGAGGAATTTGGGCTTGCTCTTGAAACCTTTTAGAGTTCCTGCGTCAACCCAAAGGCACTGTGTAAAAAGGTGCTATGTAAGAGGTGGTTCCCCAGGTGGTTTTTTTGGAGTAAAATGTCAGTACTTAAATATCGCAAAATACCCAGTATAATGTTTCTTATAATTACTGGGGGCTTTTTCAAAAATTTTCTTCTATAGGTAGGACATGTTTCTTAACGTTCACCGCATTAAAGGGGGAGACCAGGTTTTAAGGGGAATGACAGAAATGATCATACACTGAACAGAAGGAAAGAGATAAGGAGTCTTAACTTTCAGGTTCATTTTAAACTATCTGAAAGCTTGATTACACATATAGGGAGAGCACACAGATGATCTTAGTCAAAAATACCTAACAGAAGAGGAGATATTCTGAATGTCGATCACAAGAAGCCCAGCTACACCTGCAGAGACTTTCTCTGATCGGTGTTTGAGACAGTCACACAAAAGAAGCAAGGTATTATCACAGCAACACCAAATGCAGTGTAAATTATCTAAAGATGGTTATTTTTTGTCTTTTAAGTTCTAACATAAAATCTAAGTCTTCTTCACCATACTGGGAACTTAAAGGAGATATATATGATTACCAAATGCCAAAAAGGACTCTGGGATGGGTACAGTTGTTTTCACCCAAGGAATGTGTAGGCAGGATTTTTACCGAGAACATACATAATGTCTCTTTTTTACTTCATGCTAAACATTTCCTGTGGAAGTTCATGATATTTATATGAAGATAACTTGTTAAGTTGAAAGAATAATTTTAAGTTACTGGAACTTTTTCTCACTCCTCTGAGATTAAGGAAGATTTTGTCTGGTAGCAGCAGATTGCTGTTATCTAAAGATTGAGTAATTATCAAGGAATTATGCAGTAGTTAGTGAATATAATGACAGGAAAGAACATTATGTATGCTGCAGATAGAATTCTAATTTAAGGATCTTTTGAATAAGATTCAAATAAGATTCAATAAGGCATTCAAACCTGACCTTTCCGTAATTATTTTTGAATATTTCTGGAAGTAAACCAGCAAGCAGAAATTTCATATTTAGTATTGCCTTGCATAATATTAGCCTTATGCTAAAACATGTGATGAGATGCACGGCATTGGAAAATTAAAAATATCAATTTCAGGAATTGGAGGCAGACCTCTACTATAATACAAATGGCTGTGCAGCATAATTTGGATACTGTCACATTTTGATTAAAATGTTACATTCTGCATTGTTGCCGAGATTAAATAATAAAAAGAGAGCACTAGGCACATGCTGGAAATAATTTTGCATCTCTTTCTCCTCCTGATAAATTTGCTACAGATTTTTTCCTTATTTCCTGAGGATTTCTATTTCATCTGTGTAATTTTAAGATCCTTCTATGGGACTGGTAACTTGCGGTAATCTAGCAATCTTCTTTAAAGGCAGCTTTACCTGCAAATTCAAATCCTCAAAGTGACAGCTGAATCCAGCATTTATGACCTTATATTTCCAACTTGCTTCAAATCCAAAGTGGCCCTGCTGCAGGACTGCACTTTTGACTCCCAGTTGAATGGTTGGAGATCGTTGAGCTCACCTCTGCAGGCAGTAGTACTGCCATCAGCCAAGCGTGATTTCAAACTGCAGTTTGAAAATTTAATCTTGGCCATAAGTAGGGTAAGATTGGTCAATGTCATCCCATGATCGTGTTGAGTAGGACTTGGAGTTGCGTATGGGTTTTGGAGGATAAAGAGGTAAGAAAGAGGGAATAAATGGTTGGTCATAGGAGCGACCTCTTACTTGCAAAATAAACAACTCTTGGCCAGGGTAACAACTGTGGGGTCAGTCCTAGTGCCTTTGCACTTTTGAGAGGAGAGTGAGTTATTTTTACAGGGAGGCCAAGTATACAAATGCTAACAACACTTAGATTACATGTTTGTGGCTATGCCAGAAATATTCTTGGATTTTTTTAATTCCCCCCCCCCCCCCCCAACCTGTGAAATTGTGAAAATGTTTATTTGAAGAGTCATGGAACACCTGTGCTGTAGATAGTAGTGTTTTTTCAGCTCTGCAAAAATTGGTGCTAAGACTGGGGAGAAGAAGTTTGTATTAGAGATGCTTCACAGCATGGATGGAATAGGCTTGTGTCAAACCTATTAATGACTCTGTCCTTCTCTGCCAGCTCTGTTGAAGCTTCATGTCTTAAAAATGGCTGATGACTTTTATCACATTATTTATATACTGAATGAGCTTTTATCCATTACAGTGTGATGGACAGTACATCCCCCTTCCAAGTCTGCAGGGCATAGCTGTGCTAAACATTCCCAGCTATGCTGGTGGGACTAATTTCTGGGGTGGAACCAAAGAAGATGATGTGAGTAACATTAAAGAGAAGTAACCTTATGGGCAAAACTAGCAATAAACACCATGAACTGCTCTTCTCATTTAATTTTAATAGTAGTAGCGTATAGTTTGGATAGCAACTCTTATTCAGGGAGACTGTTTGACTTTAAATAGTACTGCCTTGTATTTTATTTTTTTATTGAAAATATATCCCATGATTTTTCTCTGTCTGTTGCTTTCTGTTGTGTCCATTCCAGCAAAATGTTCATAATAAGGCTTAATGTTTGCTTTTATTTTAAATGGCTCTGTGAGACATTATTTTTAAAAACTAATTTCATAAACAGACACACAAATAGTTTCTCTATATGTTGTTTTACAAACTCCTGTAAATAAGATTTCTCAAAGCATAGATTCCTCTGTTTGCTATATTCTAACAATAAACAAGGTGGATAAGGATAATCACTTATGTTTTATATCTGAATTTTCCTCCTGTTCTTCAAACAGCTTTGCACTAAGGGATGATGATTCAGAAAATGAGGACTGATGCATTTAGTGACTGATACTTTAGTGGGGGTAGTAATGTGTTTTTTAAATACTGTTTTCAATGAGCATCTAAAATATTTTAAGATTTTTTTTCCCTTCTTCCTTCGTCCTAAGAAACATTAGACTACCTAAATGTCTTACAACTTGGAGCAGTCTTACTGCTGCCATTCACTTCACACACACTGCAACAATTGTAATTACTAGCAGATTATCCTAATTCTGCATGTCATGATTTAGTGTGTGGGAGGTCTGAATCACCTAAAACTATAGTTGCAAATTAGCTTGTGATTTTAATGTAGACAGTGCAGGACTTTTTTTTTGCCAAAATGCTTTTGGTTTCTTATGAGTTATTATCCTTTGCTTATTTTGCTTTTCTCTCTCTCTCTATATATATATATATAAAAAATATGTGTATATTTATGTCACAAAAAATATTTAAATATATTTCAATGTCCTGTTCCTATTTTTGGTATACGTCAGAGGTTGGCAGTTGTGTTTATATTTGGCTATGGATATCTAAAGATTTTATATACTTCATGTTCATATTCATAACTTGAAAGCATCTCTAATGTCTGCTTGGCTCCTGTTCAGGAGTTTATTTTTCTTCTTGGGCCGCCTTACTAAGAAAGATCTATCCTAGGTGTCATACCAGCCTACAGCATGTGTGTGTCTTGGAGCAGTCTTACTGATATTCTTAGTCTTCTGGTGATCAGATGTGCCAGCAAAGTGACGTGTTTGTTGTGGACAGAGTTAGGAGCATAATTCACAGCTTTAGTGCAGTCCCAACTGACTGATCATCAGAGGTAGTGGTGGTGGTGGTGGTGGTCTGAAGTGCTGCTGGTTCTGCTTATCTGGACAGAAGAAAGACATTGCCTTGACAGCTGCAAATATTATCAGTGAGCCGAGCAGGGCAGCCGCACACTGACCGACTTGAGCTGAGCTTGTTTAGACATGGTTTTCTGTTGTCCAAAAGACAGGCTGGAAACATGACCTGCAACAGGAGAGGAGGGAATTGTTCCTTGAATGTTGATCCATAGAGATTTGTTTGCCTTTATTAAAAAAAAAGAGAAAAAAAAGAAGTATGGTTGGTTTTCAGTACAGTTATGTTTTACTGCAGGAGAGACACAGCAGACTGGATTATGGTTTGCCCATCCTTTTGCTAAAATCGAAGCACAGAATAAATGAAATTTTACAACTACTTTTTCTTAACCCATGCAGAACTAGCCCTGTATATGTCAATTATACTTGTAAAGCTGGATCAAGGACTCTCCATACTCTCTGGAATAACGGAATCACTATCTTTGCTCTTTTCAAGACATTCACATTCCCATATTTCCATGGAAACTGAAAAAATTCAGGTGGAGAAACCTTTTGCTTCAAAATAGTCTAGACCCCATAAAATTGCACTTTTGTTCTTTGATGCTCATCTGCTCAAGACCTATCTGCAATCCTGGGATGCTCTGAAGGGAAGTGCCATCTGGATGTGGCACTCAACTACGGCATCTGTGCTGTGAAGCCCTCCTCAGTCTCCAGGACAAAGCCACCACTCACTGCACTGGGGTGAAGGTTCCCGCTGGCTTAGTGGGCAGCAGGGACTAAAGTCCCTGTGGTGGGTTGACGCTGGCTGGGGGCCA